AATCTAACCTTAGAATTGGGTTGTCTTGGAATACAGCATCCAGTTTTGGTCACCATTGTACAAAAATGATGGTGAGATTCTGAAAAGAGTGCAGAGAAAAGCAACAAAGAGGATTAAGGGACTGGAGGCTAAAACATATGATGAACAGGTGCGGGAACTGGATAAGTCTATTCTACTTAAGAGAAAGACTGGGGTGACATGATAGGAGTCTTCCAACATTTGAGGGGCTGTCACAGAAAAGAGGGGATTGACCTAATCTCCAAAGCACCTGAAGACAGGACGAGAAGCAATGGATGGAAACTTATCAAGGAGAGATCCAACCTAGAGATAAGGAGGAATTTCCTGACAGTGAGAACAATTAATCATTGGAACGGTTTGCCTCCAGAAGTTGTGGATGCTCCATCACTGGAGATTTTTAAGATGAGGATGGACAGCCATTTTGACAGAATACTATAGTGTTTCCTGGCTGACCAGAGGAGTGGACTAGAACTCCAAGACACCTTCCATCTCTGTTATTTTGTATTCCAGTCTTCCTGGAGAGTTGCAGACCCAAGCATTAGAGTCAAGTCTACTTAATTTTGTTACACCATGAAAAGTTAGGTAGCCACTTTGATGGGGATACCAGAAAATCAATTTTATTGGACTTGGGTATCCTCAGACCCAATTGTGTTTTTTTTTTTCCTGAAAGCAAAGGACATAGTGAAATAATAATAAAAGAAATGCCAAAAGAAAAAAGATCTGGTCGACAAGACATATAAAAGATCTACAGGCTATAAAACAGGCTCTGAAAGCTTTGGCTACGCGTTTCTCTTTTCTTGTTTTTAATTCAGGAGGACACCTGAAGAGTTCTCCAAAGAGGAACTACTGGGTTTGAAGAAATGTGACATGATGGAAGCTGAACATTCTCAGTCTCCATATTTTTAGGACAGAAACAAAACAAAACAAAAAAAGGAGAATAAAACCTCTTGGAATGCAACCTTGATCCTGTCCCTAAATTTATGAAAACACATAAATTATTTGGATTGATTAACTAGGCAACATCTTAAGGCAGGCATCCAACCTGGGATATACATAGATTATCGTCATTGCTTTCTGTGATATGACAATGCCTTACCAACTCTTTTTGAGAGATAAATCCACATGGCATCATCAATCAACCCTGAGCCAGTCAGGATCGAACTTCTGGCAGTGAGCAGAATTAGCCTGCAATACTGCATTCTAACAACTGCACCATGTTGGCTCATAAATCCTTTGAAGTCCTCAGAACTGAGCTTGTAGAATTCCTTCCTTCCTTTCTCTTTCTTTTCTACCTCCCCCTCCCCCCTCCTTCCTTCCTTCCTTCCTTCCTTCCTTCCT